ACCCCAGCTACTCAAGAGGCTGAGGAGGGGGAACTGTTTGAACCCAGGAGGCAGAGGTTGCAGTGAGCTGAGATTGTGCCACTGCACTCCAGCCTGGGCGACAGTGTGAGACTGTTTCAAAATGAACAGACAAAAAATATATATTATGCCCAGTTAAATTTGAATTCCACATAAACAATGAATAAATTTTTAGTGTAAATATGTCACAGATTTAACAAATTCGTATTTAAAAAGTTATCCACGGTCTCTCTGGAATTTAAATTTAAGTAGGAGTGTGGCAACTCTAAGTATGGGAAAGCGCGAGTTACATATAATCAAATGTGTGTGAGTGCCCCAGGCCTCCTGTTCAGAATGCAAATCACTGGGTTTTCTCCCTGAGATTTCGATTAAGTTAGATGTGGGGGAGAAAACAGGCAGTGGGCTACTGGAGCTTGCGATTGCAAAGTGGTGAGAGATGACTGGTAAATTTTTAGCCAAAAAAAAATATATATATTTTTAAGGCACAGTGTCATCCTGTCACCCAGGCTGGAGCACAGTGGCACGATCATCACACAATGCAGCATCATGGCTCACTGCAGCCTAGACCTCTCGGGGCTCAGGTGATCCTCCCACCTCAGCTTCCTGTGCATCTGGGATTACAGGCGTGCACCACCACACCTGGCTCATTTTTGTATTTTTTGTAGAGATGGGGTTTTGCCCTGTTGGCCACGCTGCTGTGTCTCCTGGGCTCCAGCGGTCCACCTACCTTGCCCTCACGAAATACCAGGATTACACACCTGAGCCACTTCGCCCAGGTTGCCATTTTTGTAAAGTGAGTTTACAGTCGGCTGAAACTTGGTAGCTTGAAATCAACAGAGTGGAAATATTTACACCATAGGAATTGGTGAATTACTTTAAGTCAGGGCTTTAAAAATTGTTTTCCACAAGAGCCACTTAATAAATGTTTATCTGCACACTGTTGGACCAAATGTCTACCTGAACAAGTTCTTAGGTGATTGATACACTAGGATCACACTAAGAGAAACCATTTATTTTCTTTTTCTTTTTGAGATGGAGTCTTACCCTGTTAGCCAGCCTGAAGTGCAGTGGCGTGATCTCAGCTCACTGCAACCTCTGTCTCCTCATTTCAAGCAATTCTCCTGCCTCAGCCTCCCTAGTGGCTGGGATTACAGGCATGCACCACCACACCCAGCTAATTTTTTTTATTTTTAGTAGACATGGGGTTTCACCACGTTGGCCAGGCTGGTCTTGAACTCCTGTCTTCAAGTGATCTACCTGCCTCGGCCTCTCAAAGTTCGGGGATGGCAGGCATGAGCCACCAAGCCTGGCCACAATTTCTAATTATGACAGGAGGGCAATATCTGGAGCAGCTGATCCTTCACGTGTGGAAGCAGGAGTCTCTCTGCAAGTCATCTTGAATCGCTTGCATATAGGTGGGCAGCTTTATTTTGTGTTTTGTTTTAAAATTTGTAAGTTTTTTATTTTTGTGAGTATTCAGTAGGTGTATGTATTTGGGAGACATGAGATGTTTTGATACAGGCATGCAATACATGACAGTGACATCTTGGAGTATGGGGGGGTCTCCATTCCTTTAAGCATTTATCCTTCTTGTTATAAACAATCCAGTTACACTTTTTTCGTCATTTTAAAATGTACAATTAATTTCTTATTAACTTTGGTCACTCTATTGTACTATTAAGTAGAAGGTCTTATGCTTTCTGTTTTTGTACCCATTAACCATCCCATCTTCCCCCCACTATCCCCCCACCATCCCCCCCATTACTCTTCCCAGCTTATGGTGAGTACCCTCTACTCTCTATGTCCCTATATTGAGTTGCGTTAACTTCAGATTTTTTTTTTTTTTTTTTTTTTTGAGATAGAGTTTCACTCTTGTTGCCCAGGCTGGAGTGCAATGGTGCAATCTTGGCTCACCGCAACCTCCACCTCCCAGGTTCAAGCGATACTTCTGCCTCAGCCTCCTGAGTAGCTGGGATTACAGGCATGCACCACCATGCCCTGCTGATTTTGTAATTTTTGTTTTTTAGTAGAGACGGGGTTTCTCCATGTTGGCCAGGCTGGTTTCGAACTCTCAACCTCAGGTGATCCGCCTGCCTCATCCTCCCAAAGTGCTGGGATTATAGGTGTGAGCCACCACGCCTGGCTGATCTTAGATTTGATGGACAAATTTAGACCAAAAAATCTACTGCGCTTCAAATTCTTCATCTGTGTACTGGGAATATGGATGGCACCAACTTTGTGGTGTTTGGGAATGATTAGGGAGATACCTTTTTGTGTACAGGGCTTAGCACCTTCAATGCTCATCAAAGGGGAGCGACAAATGTTTTTACTAAAACACAGCTTTCTTGTGGCCCTGCTTTAATGAGTACATGAGACTTGCTTGAAATTAGCATTATTTGCTAATTATATCACACTTGTGGAGCAGTCTTTAGAAAGTGGCTGTTTTGCTAAAGAGGTGGAGAGTGGCCAGGCGTGGTGGCTCAGGCCTGTAATCCCAGCACTTTGGGAAGCCCAGGCGGGTGGATCACGAGGTCAAGAGATTGAGACCATCCTGATCGACATGGTGAAATACCGTCTCTACTAAAAATACAAAAATTAGCTGGGCATGGTGGCGCGTGCCTGTAGTCCCAGCTACTCGGGAGGCTGAGGCAGGAGAATTGCTTGAATCCAGGAGGCAGAGGTTGCGGTGAGCCGAGATTACGCCATTGTACTCCAGCCTGGGAAACAAGAGCAAAACTCCGTCTCAAAAAAAAGGAAAAAGAAAAAGGTGGAGAGAAGCCTCCTTGTATTGTTGTCTGAGCTCCTGCCTGCTCCCTCAAAGCCTTCCTGTCATACAGTGGTTATGAGTGCATACTCTGATGGCAGACCACCACCACAGTGCATCCCTGCCAATGATTAGGCATTATTAGGTTCAAGATATTAATTAAATTACTTAGCCTCAGTATGTCTTACTTACCCCATCTGGAAAAGGGTGGGTGATAAGAGCAGGTGAGGATTTAAATGAGGTAATACAGATGCATTACTTTGCTTTTCTGCTGTAACACATTACCATAGAATTGGTACCTTAAAACAGGGTCCTTTGCAGGCACATGGATGAATCTGGAAATCGTCATTCTCAGCAAACTGACACGAGAACAGAAAATCAAACACCACATGTTCTCACTCATAGGTGGGTGTTGAACAATGAGAACACATGGACACAGGGAGGGGAGCATCACACACTGGGGTCTGTTGTGGAGGTTCTGGGGAGGGACAGTGGGGGATGGGGAGGTTGGGGAGAGATAACATGGTGAGCAATGCCAGTTATAGGTGACAGCAAACCACATTGCCATGTATGCACCTATGCAACAATTTTGCATGATCTGCGCATGTACCCCAGAAACTAAAATACAATTAAAAAAAATAAAACAGCATGCACTTCTTCTCTTAGAGATCTGGAGCTCCAAAGTTTAAATTCAGATCTATGGGGTTAAAATCAAAGTTCCTACTGGCAGCTGCAGGAGAGAATCTATTCCTTGCGTTGCGTAGCTTCTGGCAGCCACGCACATTCCCTGGCTGCTAGCCACATCACACTAATCTCTGATTCTGTTGTCTCTGCATATCTCTAACCTTGGTCCTCCTGGCTCCCTCCTCTGGGGACCCTTGAGATTGCATCTCTGGGCCTACCCTGACAGTCCAGGATAAACTCCCCATCTCAAGAACCTTAATCATACCTGCAAAGTCCCTTTTGCCATGTAAAATGACGTATTCACAGGTTCCAGGTATTAGGATGTGAACGTCTTTGGAGGAAGGGAGGGCATTATTCAGCCCGCCACGCAGGCAAACAAACCTTGCAACAGTGCCTGGCACGCAGGAAGTGTTGCTATGAGCTACCTGTGGGTTTAACTGAAGTGCAAGGAGGTCAAGGACAGACTGCCCATCCTGTTCCAGTGAGCAGTGACACTGGCTGAGCACCAGACAGTGGCTCTATGTTTCTCACTCGAGTTTGACCATTGATGGATGGAACTCTTGCAAAGGCACCTCTCTTGCCTTGAGAACCCACAGAATGTGGATGCTCCCAGCCCACTTTCCAATTCCTAAGTTGCTTTATCAGCCTGAACCTCTCAGTTGTCTTTCTGGAGAGATTTCCCAGGCTCCAAAGGTCAAATGTTACTAAAATTTTAAGTTGGCTGAATGCAGATTCCGCACATGTCATTCCATTGGCCTAGTATCCATCCTTGTTCGGGAACACATACAATGGCAGGGTTGTTTTCCAAGAGTATTATTCCTCAGTTTGGGTGCAAGGAATAAAAAAAAGGAAATCTGTATAAAAGTCCAAAACAGAGTTTCTTAATTTAAGCTTCTAATGAAGGAAAAAAAAAATCATATGGTAAGCCCAAAGCAAAAATACAATTGAGTCTGGATTCAGCTTTAAGGATGTGTAAGGAATGGCAGTTTCCGCCAGAAAACAGAACGATCCTCTGCAGATCCTAAAGAAATCGTTGGTGGCTTTCTCTCCCTGCCCCTTTCTATCCCCATCCATCTATCAGCAAGTGTTTTAGAATAAGAGGAATTCTAGGCTGGATGTGGTGGCTCACGCCTGTAATCCCAGCACTTTGGGAGGCCGAAGTAGGCGGATCACCTGAGGTCAGCCTGGCCGCTGAGATCACCTGAGGTCAGCCTGAGACCAGCCTGGCCAAGATGACGAAACCCCATCTCTACTAAAAATACAAAAATTAGCTGGGCATGGTGGCACACAGCTATAATCCCAGCTGCTTGGGTGGCTGAGGCAGGAGGATTACCCAGGAGACAGAGGCCGCACTGAGCTGAAATCCTGCCACAGTACTCCAGCCTGAGCAACAGAGCAAGACTCTGTCTCAAGGAAAAAAAAAAAAAAAAAAGAATAAGAGGAACTCAGGATTTACTAAGCCCTTTTGTCTGTATCATTTCACTTAATTCTTACCAAACTCATTTTGCAGTAAACAAACTGAGGCTGAAAGAAATTACGTTTTATTCACACTTTCACCGATACCAAGTGAAAGAAGGCGACTCAAGCCTATTAGATTTCATGTTACCACCAGCCCCATGCCTCTCCCAAATTCCATTGTTTCTTTTCCGTTCCCCCAAACTGTTACGTGAAAACAGCAAATATGGCGCTATGACAATGTCATCTCCGATCACGTTCCCCCAGTGTAGCTATAAATACATTCTACTTGCCATGAAACCATGCGCATTTCCACCTCCTTTTTTCTTGCCTTTTTTAGTGTTAATCAGATTCATGCCTTTCACAGAGCAGTCATATCTTGGAAACTTCTAGCTCCTCATGAAGCGTTTGGGGAGTTAAGAAGTGGCCTGGTTTCCCTGAAAGAGTTTTCAACTTCACAGAGCCCCAGCCCCACCTCCTCCATCATTCTGTCAGTGTTGATCAACCCCGACACAGTGAAAAGCCCAACATCCCTTTGATTTAATCAGCCCTTTTTATGCAGAACTGAAGCCAAGCGCCTCTTCTTCCCAACAGCACGGCATTTCCTGGAACATGAAGATCAATGGTGTTGATAGACTGTTGACAGGGTGTTGACCGTAAGCCCATTAAACAGAAGGTGGGACTGCAACTGTCAAAGACTCCATCCCCACGATGGCCAGAAGACAGCAGGGCTGAGATGGGGGGAAAAGCCACCTTCTCTGGGCTTTTCATTTTTCGTGGCATGAGGGTGACATTGGTGATCCTGGAAAGGAGGAAGAAAGTTTGAGAAATGGGTTTTCCAGGAAGCTTTTTTTTTTTCTTTTCTTTTCTTTCCTTTTTTTTGAGACAGAGTCTTGCTCTTGTTACCCAGGCTGGAGTCCAATGACACGATCTTGGTTCACTGCAACCTCTACCACCCAGGTTCAAATGATTCTCTTGCCTCAGCCTCCCGAGTAGCTGGGATTACAGGCATCTGCCCGCACACCTGGGTAATTCTTGTATTTGTAGCAGAGACGGGGTTTTACCACGTTGGCCAGGCTGGTTTCGAACTCTTGACCTCATGATCCGCCCACCTCGGCCTCCCAAAGTGCTGGGATTACAGGCGTGAGCCACCATGCGCCTGGTCTCCAGGAAGATTTTCTAACCTCTCCTGACCTTCTGGCAAGAGTGTCCATTCCCTTCTCACTCATTTCCTCTCTCCAAGAATTTTGAGCCATTTTTTCATGTGGGGTATACTCTATTCAGCATTGCTTAATAAAATGTGTACCGAAGAGCATGCTGAGCACTTCACATGAGTTATTGCATTTAATCATCTTAGGAATCCATTAGGTAGGTGCTGTTTACCATGATTCCATATTTAACCCTTGTTGAAACCAGGGCACTTGCTTAGGCTTCCAAAGTTACCCAGTAGCAGAGGCAGAACCTAAACTCGAGTGGTGGGACCGAAATCCTTACCCCCTACTTCACACTATGTTTGTTTGGCTTGTTAGGTCTCCCCTTGTCCTCTTTTTAGAAAACAATAATTTACTTTTTAAGTATTGGTTTATTTTTTTGAGACAGGGTCTTGTTCTGTCACCCAGGGTGACAGAGTGCAGTCATGTGCAGTGGTACAGTCATCGCTCACTGCAGCCTCGACCTCCACAGCTCAAACAATCCTCCTGCCTCAGCCTCCCAAGTACCTGAGACTACTGGGATGAGCCACCATACCTGGGTAAGTTTTCTTTTTTGGCAATTCTTGGTAAGGATAAGGTCTAGCTGTGTTGCCCAGGCTGGTCTCAAACTTCTGGTCTCAAGCAATCCTCCTGCCTCCGCCTCCCATAGTGCTGGGATGACAGGCATGAGCCACCATGTCTGGCCTATCCTTGTTCTCTAACCTCCTTTGTCAGGTCTGACTAGATTCAGGTGCTTCTAGGAGAAACTCCAATTATCAGTAAATTCAGGTAAAATTTATCTTTCTCTGACGTAAAAAAACATCCAGAAACTGATAGTCTTTGATTAGTGTGGTAGCTGGATGAAGGTATTGGGAGCCCGTCTCTCTGCTTCCAGATCCCCTGTGCATCCATAGCTCTTGTCCTCATGGTCCAAAATAGCCCCCAGAGATCCAGCGATCACAGGCATGTTCCAGGTGGTATGATGAATAAAGGAGCAAAGGATATATCTCCTGTCTTTAAGAATTTCCGGAGATCCCACATGATACTTACACTCATAGATCATTGGCCAAAACGTAGTGGCGTTCACTCTTTACACTACATCCTTGGCAAGGTCCAACTCTCATTAAGCCTGAGCTATTCTAAAAGTTTCCCGGCTTGTCTCCCTGAGTCAGTCTCTTCCTGCTCTCACTCTGACCCTGGGCTGCTATCAAGACAGTCTTCTTTGAATTCTGCTTTGTCATCCCGTTCCCTAGAAGCATTTGAAGCGTTCAGTGGACCTTCTTGATTTATAAGATTACATCTGAATTCCATTTTCTGCCAAAAAATGCCTGCGTGCTTTCCCATTATGAGGCATGCCTGTCTCTACCTTTTTTTTTTTTTTTTTTACTTCACATCGTCCTCTCTGGCTAAAATATCTTTACCCCTTTGTATCATTGGGTCTAAATCTGATGTCTCCTTTAATTCCTTTTCACATTCTACCTCATTCATATTCATTCATTCGTTCACGGAGACGTTATTGATGATGGTATATAAAGCACTCAGAACTGTGGCTAACAGACAGTAGAAAGTGACTATTATTATCATTAAGAGTAATTATAGTAAAAATGGTAATAGTAGGCAGAGCCTGTTTCTGGGGCTCTGGATTAGGAATTGGGTCATTCCCTTCTCAGTAATCCAGAAACTAGGATCTGAGAAGTGAGGGTTGTTTTGTTTTGTTTTGGTGGTGGTGGTGGTTGTTTTGATAATGACAACGGTGAGTATGTTACCTTGAGAGAATGAAATTCCTTTTATATGCTAGGGCTTATCTTTGGGACTCCAGTCAGGGATTCAAGCTCAATATGGTCTTCTAATCCTTGGGAAGTAACTACCTCCACTCTGGTCTTGAGTTCAGAAAGTGTTAATAAGATAGAATGGCTTTTTAATTACTCTTGTATTATGTATCCCTAATTATATGTGAGTTAAATATTTGAAAATATATTTTTGTGTTTATAAGATAAACCACAACTTTAAAAAGACTCGAGAATCTGCATGTTGATCTAAGTGCATTTTAGATCATGGGTCTGTCATTATAGGTTAGGTAATGCTGCTGTATCAAACCCCAAACCTGAATAGCTTAAAGTAGCAAAAGTTTGGTTCTTGCTCCATTGCATTATCATTGCAGGTGGGTTGTGGAGCTGATCCAAGATGACAGAACAGTTATCATTCCCAGCATTGGCTTTCTCTAGATCAGAAAGATAAAGAAAGTTCTTGAGTATTATATACTAGCTTTAAACCATCAGCTTGTACACATAAACCAAAAGAAAAAAAATCCAAAAATTTGCATGGAACCACAAAAGACCTTGAATTTTGAGCCAGAATATTCTGAGGGAACAATGAAGCTGAAGGTTTCACACTTCCTGATTTGAAATTATATTACAAAGCTATAGTAATTAAAACACTATGGTACTGGCATAAAAACAGACACATAGACCAATGGAGCTAAATAGAGAGCTCAGAAATAAATTCATACATTACAATCAACTGACCTTCAATAAGGGTAACAAAAACATAGAGTGGGGAAAGAATGGAACTGGCATAAAAACAGACACATAGACCAATGGAGCTAAATAGAGAACTCAGAAATAAATTCATACATTACAATCAACTGACCTTCAATAAGGGTAACAAAAACATAGAGTGAGGAAAGGATGCTTTCTTCAAGAAATGTTAATGGGACAACTGGATGTCCAGATACAGAATGAAATTTGACCCTTATGCCGTACACAGATATCAAGTCAAAATGGATTAATGACTTAAGACCTAAAGCCAGAAAACTCCCCCCAAAAAATCACAGAAGAAAGTGCCTTGACATTGGTCTTAGCAATTTTTTGGACATGACACAAAAACACAAACAACAAAAGCAAAAATAAACAAGTGGTTTTTTGTGAGACCAGGAAGTTTTGCATAGCAGAGGAAACCATCAACAAAACAGAATGGCATTCTAAGAAATGAGAGAAAGTATTTGCAAATCACGTATCTGATAAGTGATTAACATCTATACTATATAAAAGTAACAGCCAGATTTTTTTAAATGAACATAAGACTTAAATAGACATTTTTCCAAGGAAGACATACAGATGGACCACAGGCACATGAAACGGTGCTCAGCATGATCAGGGAAGTAAAAATCAAAACTGTCATCAGACACCACCTCATACCTATCAGGATGGTGATTGTCCAAAGGCCAAAACTTACGTGTTGGCAGTTATATGGAGAAAAGAGAACTCTTAGGCTCTTGTTGGTGGGAATGTAAATTGGTACAGCCATTATGGGAAACAGTGTGGAGATTTCTCAAATAATTAAAATTAGAACTACCATATGACCCAATAATTTGACTTCTGGGTACACATCCAAAGGAAATGAAGAAAGGACTGCACTCCCACATTTATTGCATGCTATTCCTGTTATTCACAATAGCCAGAATAGGAAATGATCTGAGTTCAATGGTGGATGAATGGATATAGAAAATGTGAGATACATACATATATATCTACATAAATATATACATAGATATATAGATACATATATCTCTACATATATATGTATCTATGTATATATTTATATATCTCACATATACCATATATATGTATATACATGTACACACAGTGACCCTTAGGTTATATGTATATATGTATATATACATTGGTATGTATATATATATATATATATATATATATGTTTATATACCATATGCACATATGTACATACATACACAATGACTTTAGAGTTCATTCATGGCTGAATAGATCAAGAAAATGTGGTGTGTACATATATATAGATGTGTGTGTGTATATGTGTGTGTTTGTGTATATACAATGCAGTTATATTCAGTCTTAAAAAGAAATTTTTCCATTTGTGACAACATAGATGAATCTGGAGGATGTTATGCTAAAGTGAAGTAAGCCAGACACAGAAAGACAGAAATAGGGTATAAATCACGTATATGTAGAATCTAAAGATGTCAAACCCATAGACACACAGGGTAAAATTCTGGTTACCTGGAGCTGCAAAATAAGTGGGAAAAATAAGAAGATGGTGGCCACTCTGCTTAAACCACAGTATAAACTTTCAATTATAAGACGAACAAGTTCTTCCCTCTTTCTCTTCCTCTTTCTTCCTCTCCTTCATTCCTTCTTTCTCTTTCTTTTTTTTTCAGAAAAAAAAAAAAAAAGTTGAACAAGTTCCGAAGACCTAAAATACAGTATAGTGAGTATAGTTAATAATAATGTGGTGTATACTTGAAATCTGCTAGGAAGAGTAGTCCTCACATGTTCATACCGCAAGCAAAGGTAGCTGTATGAGGTGACTGATATGTAAATTCGCTTCATTATGGCAATCATTTCACAATGTGTACATATATCAAAACATGTTATACATCTTAAATATATACAATTTTTATTTGTCAAGCATACCTCCCTCAAGCTAGAGGGTGGGGAATCCCATCAAGCTGGAAGTGGCATGCTTCATCTCAGCCAGAACTAAACACATAACCACACCTTCCCCTACAAAAGGACCAAGAAACGTTCTGTCACAGGATAAGCAGGTGAAAGCCCACAGCTTTAATGAATGGAACCAATGACCTCCACAAAGCTTCAGAAGAACTTACTACGGAGAGACAGTAATGTGGTTGATACTTAGATCACGGCACCCCTAAACTCTGCCTTATCTCTGAGTTGAGCAGACTAATTTTGCCTCTGAGTGAGGATGTTTTTCTGGCTTCATGGGCAGAGTAGCCATTCTGAGTGTGCTGAGTATGGGGGCCGAGGTTCCCTTGACCCTTCATTGAAGAGTTGAGTGGGTGGGTTACCCTGTTGTTTTTCTATATCCATCCTCCTTTTCTCCTCCAGCTCACACCTGGTCCCCTGCTGTAGATGTTGTCCTCCTGACTGAAATGTTTCAGCCAAGGAGCTGGCATGCTTGCTGCCCCCAACAGTTTCCTCTTCATATTTCATGCAGCATCTTCTCCTTATTTTTTGCCTGTGCTTTCTCCAGCCATAGAGTTTCTGTTTTTTTTTTTTCCTCAGATGTACTGTATTTTATTGAAGTCTAATATACATCAAGTGCATGAATTGTAAATTCATTGCTCAATGAGTTTTCACAAGTGAATACACTCATAAAGCGACCATGAGCTATGCCTGTAGAATTAGAACATGACCAAATAGAACAATTCCCCCATTCTTGTATTGCTATGAAGAAACACCTGAGACTGGGTAATATATCAGAAAAGGTTTCATTGGCTCACGGTTCTGCAGGCTGTACAAGAAGCACAGTGGCATCTGCTTCCAGGGAAGCCTCATGGGGCTTTTACTCACGGCAGAAGACGGCGTGAGGGTGGACAGCTCACATGGCCAGAGCAAGAACAAGAGAGTGAGGAGGGAGATGCCACACACTTTTTTTGGAGTCAGAGTCTCACTCCCCAGTCAAGCCGCTCAGGCTGGAGTGCAGTGGTGTGATCTCACCTCACTGCAGCCCCCACCTCCCGGGTTCAAGCAGTTCTCCTGCCTCAGCCTCCCAAGTAGCTTGGATTACAGCACCCGCCACCACACCCAGTTAATTTTTGTATTTTTAGTAGAGATGGGGTTTCTTTTAAATGACCAAAATCTTTTTTTTTTTAATTTTTTATTGGATTTTAGGTTTTGGGGTACATGAGCAGAGCATGCAAGACAGTTGCGTAGGAACACACATGGCAGTGTGCTTTGCTTTTCTTCTCCCCTTCACCCACATTTGGCATTTCTCCCCAGGCTATCCCTCCCCACCTCCCCCTTTCACTGGCCCTCCCCTTTTCCCCCCAATAGACCCCAGTGTGTAGTGCTCCCCTCCCTGTGTCCATGTGTTCTCATTTTTCATCACCCACCTATGAGTGAGAATATGCGGTGTTTCATTTTCTGTTCTTGTGTCAGTTTGCTGAGGATGATGTTCTCCAGATTCATCCATGTCCCTACAAACGACACAAACTCATCATTTCTGATTGCTGCATAATATTCCATGGTGTATATGTGCCACATTTTTCCAATCCAGTCTATTATCAATGGGCATTTGGGTTGATTCCAGGTCTTTGCTATTGTAAACAGTGCTGCAATGAACATTCGTGTACATGTGTCCTTATAGTAGAACGATTTATAGTCTTTTGGATATATACCCAGTAATGGGATTGCTGGGTCAAATGGAATTTCTATTTCTAAGGCCTTGAGGAATCGCCACACTGTCTACCAGCTAGAATGGCGATCATTAAAAAATCTGGAGACAACAGATGCTGGAGAGGATGTGGAGAAAAAGGAACACTTTTACACTGTTGGTGGGAGTGTAAATTAGTTCAACCATTGTGGAAGACCAAAATCTTTTGACAACTCACTCAGTATTGTGAGAACGCCACCAAGGGGATGGTGCTAAAACCCATTCATAAGAAACCTGTCCCCACGATCCCATCACTCCACCAGTCCCCACCCTTGGGGACTGCAATTCGAGATGAGATGTGGGTGGCGGGGGCAGATCCAAACCATATCTCCAGCCTCCTGGAAGCCCAGCTCATGCCTCCACCAGCCGCTATCCTTTCCTCTTCCCAGACAGCCTTTGTTCTGATTCAAATCACTGAAGATTCATTTTCTCTAGTCCAGTCCTGATGGAAATGACCTGGTTAATTGTCTGTCTTGCGCTAAATCAGGGGGGTCAATAACCGATAGCCCAGGTGCCACCTGTTTTTGTAAATTAAGTTTGATGGGAGCACAGCGCTGACCGCTCATTTGTATGTAGTCGATGGCTGCTTTTTGAGTAGCAGCAGCAGAGTTTGGTGGTTGCAACAGAGACCATCTGGCCCACAAAGCCACAAATATTTACTGTTTGACCTTTTACAAAAACGTCTGCCAGTGCCTGCACTAGACCAGAGGTCCGAAAGCTTCTTTAATGTAGCAATCCCTGAAAACGAGCATATCTCCATCTAGGAATCATTGGTTTATACAATGTATGCATTATATAACATCACTGTGGCTCCTGAGTCCTTTCGATATGACAAACTTGCTCTTGGTAGCTTCCTTGGTATCTGGTTGGATAAGACTCCCAGGCTCGTTTTACACATTTCTTAACCCAATATTGGAATCAGTAATTTCTCCAGGAAGCCCTGATTTCCTGTAGTGAGAAGTGATATTTTGTGACCGTAATCTGAGTGCTAGAGATGCTCGTTGTTACTGACTTATTCATGGTTTCCATGCCTTTGTAGTAGATGAAGCAAGAAAAACACACACAATTTTAAAAGGATAAAATACATCATGGGCTCGTACTGATAATTCCAATTCATATTTTGTACTACAGGGATTTTAACTAATCTATTCTCTGTTTTGTCTATTTCTTTTTCTTCTGCCTAAGAGTCCTGCTTGTAAAGGACACAGGATGTTGTATAATTAGGCTATTTCCAAATTATTTAATTGGTTCAACAGTATATACGCCACAGTCTCACAGAATGATAATGCTCTGACTGCCATCAGTTGTTACTGCCCTCAGTGAGGATATCTGAAAGCAGGGGTATTTTACCTTGGGGACTGGGTTCTTTGTTGTTGTTTTGCATATGGTATCCCTATCATTCCTGTTTTTCATGGTTGTACTCTATCTCCACTGTGAGATCATATAGATGTTACCTATGATGATTTTGCTTTATTTATTTATTTATTTATTTTGAGACGGAGTTTCGCTCTTGTTACCCAGGCTGGAGTGCAATGGCGCGATCTCAGCTCACCGCAACCTCCGCCTCCTGGGTTCAGGCAATTCTCCTGCCTCAGCCTCCTGAGTAGCTGGGATTACAGGCACGCGCCATCATGCCCAGCTAATTTTTTGTATTTTTAGTAGAGACGGGGTTTCACCATGTTGACCAGGATGGTCTCAATCTCTTGACCTTGTGGTCCACCCACCTCGGCCTCCCAAAGTGCTGGGATTACAGGCTTGAGCCACCATGCCCGGCCTCTGTCACCTCATTTCTAAGCCTTTCTAATTCTGATTTGTGTTGTTTTCCATATTTTGTATCACTTTCTCGGTGCCCGTTGGCGTGTTTTGAAACAGAATTGCAGCAGGGATCATATTTTCGACAATGCCTCTCTGGCATGCTTTTGTTATCCATAGAGATTTTAGTCTCCTCCTTAACCTTTCTTCTTTCATAACAAATTTGTATGAGGTATGCCTGTGATTCTTTTCAGTTGTTCTTTTTTGTTTTTATTTTTTGAGATGGAGTCTCACACTGTCACCCAGGCTGGAGTGCAATGGCACAACCTCAGCTCAGTGCAACCTCCATCTTCCAGGTTGAAGCGATACTCCTGCCTCAGCCTCCCAAGTTGCTGGGATTACAGGCACCCACCACGACGCTCAGCTAATTGTTTTTTTTGTATTTTTATAAAAATACAAAAATCAGTAGAGACAATTAGTAGAGACAGGATTTTTAGTTTTTAGTAGAGACAGGGTTTCACTGTGTTGGCCAGGCTGGTCTCAAACTCCCGTCCTCGTGATCTGCCACCTCAGCCTCCCAAAGTGCTGGGATTATAGGTGTGAGCCACTGCGCCCAGCCTCAGTTGTTCATTTTTTGGTGACATTATATTTCCTGAAGTCTTAGGTAGCTTATCTAACTTCACAGAGCTCCCTCTTTTGTTGTTTTTGCTTTTCTTTTCATGTAGGTTTTAAAAATGATGCCTTGCTATCTGTGATGTCTGCCCCCCAGCTCCTCACCCCAGCACTTTTATCTGGACTTTACTCCTTTTTTTCTTTCTCTGCTTACTTCCAGCAATATCTTCTCAGTGTGGATGGTCCTCCAAGCAGCTTTGACTGGTTAGTTGAGTTTGGGAGTTTGCAAGGAGAGTTTGGAGTCTTGGAGTTTGAAAGTTGGCAAGGAGTTAGCCACATTTGTTGCTTCATAGCTCCCTGGGGTATACTGTGCTCAGCCACTGTTGGCTTGGGAAATACTTTTCCCAGTTCAGCTGCTGTCTTCAGGTTGGCACTGTACACATCGCCACAACTCCCTGTTGCTCACACTGGGCATCTCCTTTTGTTGAGTCCGCCACGTGACTTGAGGATTCTTCCTGCTTCCTATGACATATAGGAGGGTAGCGCAGGAGTCTCGGGATGTGGATGGTTGGTCCCTGTCCACTTACATCTTAACATTCATGTACACACTTCAGCTTCATTGTTTCTCATGGATGTGGTCTATTTACTCATTTTGTTGTGGCTACTCTATTTTTAATGTAGGGATTTTGGAAGAATCAGACTGTGCAGCCATCAGTCTTCCAGCATTCCCAATCTTAAACACATGTTTCTGATGGGGATTTGAACCCTCAGAGGGTGAGTGGCTTCCTTGTGGTCACTTTTCTGGGATTAAAACCAAGGCAGGCTTCTCTCTTGACTATAGCAGCATGTTTCTACTACACGTAAGAAATATTCTCTAGGTTTTAACGCAGAATGAACACTAATCACATTTCCAATTTCAACCAATGAGCTGCTCAAATAAAAATAAAATAGAAACCTTCACCCTGAGTGATCGTACAGTCTGTAGAGAAGACAGACTGTGGACCAGCCAAGTCACAGTAGCACCTACCAGACCGCCATGAAAGAAAAGGCAAGATGTGGACCTGGGTCATGAATATGGAGCTTCTTCTTTTTCTTTTCTTTTAGGTAAAGGAACCTGTGAAATAGACTGAAATGACACTGACATCAACATGTTGAAGTCTATGTCTATATGGCCATGTTTTCACTGCACAGTAAAATATGCCTTGAGTCAGTATGCACGTCGCCGGGTATTCATTTCTCATTGTCTCTTAGGACTGGCTGGACTATAATTTTCAAGTACAGTGACTGTTGTCAAGCATGCGCACCCTACAGCACATATCCCAAAATGTTTTATACCCAGATGTTTTTCCTGAACCATCTCATTCCACAAGGAGACATCTCTATCCTGACTTGCTGTGTGTCCATACCAGAGGATGCTCTGTGTGTGAGCTGACATGACAGTGTTCCTGTCCCCTTTAGACCTTTCTCTTTCTACTTCCCTTGTCAAAGTGTCCATCTGTCAACACATTTATTGAGGACCTACTATGTGCTATACATTGTCATGGCTCTGGGGATAGAGCCATGAACCAGACTCACCAATTATTTTGCCTCAAGAAATTTATATCACGGTGGCGAGGATGTTTCTGAGCTGATTCTGAGCCAAATCAGCTCAGGCTCCCATAGCAGTCCTTGTCATGTGACGTGAATTGACGTCACGTCTGGAAGTTATCCTCAAGAGAAGGAAGCCCTGGGGTTCATAGAGAGAAGGCATGAGAATGGAAAAATAAGATATGCTGGGTTTGGAGACTCTAAATCTGGATTTGGGTTTTTTTCCCCTCAAGGGTAAACTATCTGTCATTTGGGGTGTTCATTTTATTTTTGTGATACAGACTCATTGTGTTTAAGGAGGGAAAATAATTAGCACAGCACGGTAAGTCAGAATGCTGCTAAGGCATTAGTTCCCGTGGTCTTGGGTAACTTACTTGATCAATTCTTTAAGCCAGAGTTCCCTTAGCAGTGAAATGCGGATGATGATGGCTACCCTAGGTCAGAATCAGAAAAGGCATGTATGAAGGCCAGGAAGGACCAGTCTGCATTTATTACTTTTGTTATTGTTACATTGCCATTTTGGTTCATTTTGTGTGTCATGTTGAGTAGGCCACAGCGTGCCTAGACGTTTGGTCAAATATTATTCTGCATGCTTCTGTGAGGGTGTTTTGGATGAGATTAGCATTTGTATCAGTAGACTGAATAAAGGAGATGGCTCCATGTAATGTGGGTGGGCCTCATCCAATCAGTGGAAGGCCTGAATAGAGCAGAAAGGCTGACCTCCCCTGCATCAGAGAATTCCTTCTGCCTGCCTGACTTCAAACTGGGACATGTTCTTTTTCCTGCCTTCAGACTCAAACCAAAGTGTCAGCTCTTTCTGGGTCTCCAGGACTGCTGTTTTCAGAGTGGAACACCATTCCTTCTCCTGGACCTCCACCTTGCTGACTCACCCTGCAGATCTTGAAGCTTCCATAATTGTGTGAGCCAATTCCTTATGAGAAATACACACACACACACACACACACACACACACACACACACACACACTCCGTATCTGTTCTGATCCTCTGGAGAAACTTGACTAACATAGTTGCTAAGTGGATTCCTAGAATAAACATTCTTTCCATAGATTACACATGGAAAATGAATTCCAGAATCCTCTTTACAAATAGACAATGTCACTGACCATCAATAGTGCATGATATTCATGGTGATGGACAGGTTCCTCTGTTTTGAAAGAAGCCTCTCATTATCTATCGAGTGCCTGAAAATCCATCATTCACTCCATCAAGTATTCCAGCGTCCTCTCTTAAAATGAGAATGCTTCTGGGAAAGGCAATGGGTGTTAGCCCTTATGGCTAACCCCTTAGCTAAGAGTAACTCTGTGATGAGAAAGCTAGATGAGGCACGCATATGGAATAATTGGTTGCAGACAATCAGGGAGGCTTCAGGTAGGTAGTGGACCAAGAGGTGGGAGTGTGTCCTATTCATCATTTCACCCATGGTGGCTCGGGACCTGCCTGCCTCATGCTGGTGCTGTGGCCATCTCCCGTGGAAGCTACACATGGTTCTCACTCTTTCCACTCCAGAGGATCTCCTGTCTGTTTGTCACCTTCCTGGGCACCACATACCCTTGGCTCTTTGGCTTCCTGAGTAGCAGGGGAAGCACATCTTGTCTTTAAGATTAGCTTTGAATGCTTAAAGTAATTTTGGGCAAGGTATGATTTCGCCAGCTCTCACACAGACAAAAACAAGACTTTTCATGAGTCATCATTCCTGCTGAGTCCCATACAGCAACAGAAAGTGTGAGAATGGATGACACATGCCTCCCTGGCAGGGTCTTAAACATTTCAGCTGCCCTGAGATGTACCCAAGGTGTGTGGCAGGGATTCAAAAGTCAGTTGAAATCCTAGCACTTTGGGGGGCCAAGGCAGGTGGATTGCCTGAGCTCAGGAGTTCAAGTCCAGCCTGGGAAACACAGTGAAACCCCCTCTCTAATAAAATACAAAAAATTAGCTGGGTGTGGCGGTGTGTGCCTGTAATCCCAGCTACTTGGGAGACTGAGGCAGAGGAATTGCTAGAACCTGGGAGGCAGAGGTTGCAGTGAGCTGAGATCACACCACTGTACTCCAGCCTGGGTGACAGAGTGAGATTCCATCTCTAAAATAGAAAAAAAAAGTCGGTGACTACCTCCTGTAAAGAGATGTGGCTAAGAATTTTCCTTTCTACCTTATGATATTGGTAAATGTGCTATCTGTATTTAGGAGTGGTAGAGAGACCTGGACTTATAATTATTAGGGATGTTTATGAAAGAAGGGGGCACTGGAAAATATGAACACTCTAAGATACGATGTGTACATTGACTGAAACCACATCTGTCTTTGATGGTTAGGAGTAATTAGTTCTATATCACAAACGAACTCTATTCCCTGACCAGTCTTCACCAACCTGCTGTTTTTCTCATCATAGTTAGTGTGTTTTGCCATTTTGTGCATACACCTGTTTGCTTTTTGTTCATTCATTCGTTTGGAGCACAGACAAGGATCTGACCCTTCTGCCAAAGTTATGTTCCACTTACTGGGGGTTATCCAAACTTAACTGTGATGAATCTCCTGTACCTTGCACTTCGTAGGGCTCAGAAGATGCCTACTGAATGGACTCTGGCATCACGCAGACCTGAATTTTCATTTTCAGCTCACCTGCTGACTTGGAAACACTGGTTAGATTAATTTAACACCCTTAAAACCTAAATTCCTCATTTGTAAAATAGGGATGATACTAGTATCTACATGGAAGGATTCTAATACATATGAAATGCAATAATGGATGTGGAGAGCTCAGCCTAGTGAGAAGAGAATGCATTCTTAACCGTGGTTCTCTCGACGGCCCTTCTTCTACCTGTGATATGCAGCAGCTAATGCCAGATCCAGTTCGATTTAGCCCTCAACTGCTTCAGCTGTTGCTGTTGCATTTGGAACTGCCAAGAGAGGTAGAGTTTGATGAATAATTTGGTAAAGGTTTATTTGTGTTCACAGAGAGAAACATACTTGATTAAAACAGATCTGGGCCGGGCACAGTGGCTCATGTCTGTAATCCCAGCACATTGGGAGGCCGAGGAAGGTGGATCACCTGAGGTCAGGAGTTCAAGACCAGCCTGACCAACATGGTAAAACCCCGTCTCTACTAAAAATACCAAAAATTAGCTGGACGTGATGGCAGCTAATTTAATCCCAGCTACTCGAGAGGCCGAGTCAGGAGAATCACTTAAAGCAAGAGGTGGAGGTTAGAGTGAGCTGAGATTGTGCCACTGCACTCCCGTCTGGGTGACAAGAGCGAAACTCTGCCTCAGTTAATCCATCAATAAAATAAAAAGGGATCTGTCCCCCACCCACATTTTATTTTTAGTTTAAGGATTCCATTAGTTGTATTTGTTTCAGGGAACTTTAAAAGTTAAAAAACCAAAACTACTTTAAAAAGTTGGCTTTCCTTCTTTTTTTTTAAAAATAAGTCAACAGAACAACAAAAGTGCCTTTGATGCCTTCGTTGCTCAGTACTTAATAAATCACGGCACATAATTATGTTGATAAATTCCAACGGCCTAGCCAACTCCTCTTTCCTGATACCGGCTTGGGACGGCCCTGATAAATCGATCTCGACTTTCTCGCGGTGTCGCTATCCTGCACGGGATCTGCCTCGTTTCCCCACTGCAGTCCGTGGGAGCCATACATCACCCGAGCTCTGCAGCCTTCCTCCGTATCATGAGAGCAACAGCTGCTTCTGATAATGCATTAATGTAATATATCACAGAGCTGGGTGCCTGGCTGCTGCATTACTCAAAAGCTCATCTGATAGGGAAGGGAAAACCTGAGTGTGTTTATGACTCCAAAAGTTGGGCTTTCTTTGTATATGTACGGTTTAGTTTTGCTTGGCTCTTGAAACCTCAGGGTCCAGATTTTTCCCCTTTATAAGTTGTGTTTGTTTTTCCTGAACCAGTCTATTCATTTTTTCCTGTGTCCAGAAAGTTACTTTATCTGTGATCAGTTCTGGAGTCTCTGCTCTTGCCAGTGTGTGAGAAGCTCCTAGCATAATTTAAGCTCAGTGTCAGAATGCTTGGGTTGGAGTTGAGGTTCTGCAGTTTGTTGGTTGTGCTGCTTTGGGCAGAGTTTTATAATTCAATGAGATGGTGAATGGCTCAACAGAGAGTGATAACTCAGTCAAAATGGTATTTATTACCATCAGGCCGAGCGTGGTGGCTCGCATCTGTAATCCCAGTACTTTGGGAGGCCAGGTCGGGCAGACCACTTGAGGTCAGGAGTTCAAGACCAGCCTGGCCAATGTGGTGAAACCCCATCTCACTAATAATACAAAAATTACGTGGGTTGTTTCAGCGTGCACCTGTAATTCCAGCTACTCAGGAGGCTGAGGCACCAGAATCACTTGAATCCAAGAGGTGGAGGTTGCAGTGAGCTAAGATTGTACCATTGCACTTAGCCTGGGAAACAGGGCAAGATTTGGTTTCAAAATTTTAAAAAAAGCATTAGTGTCTTCTAGCCCACCACTTACCCATTTGGGTATCCCAGGACTTGTTTAGGAGCAAGTAGGAGACAAGAAAACAACAGGAGCAACAACAGAGGTCTGTGAACGCATCAGTTAGGAAAACATCAGGATGAAAAACTCACAGAGACTCGTTTACGGCAGGACTTAGTCTCCAAAGCGCTACAGTACGTGTGTCATAGGTCAGGCTGGAATAAACACTCATCAGCAAACTACCTGGCCTTAGAACCCCTCATGTTCTGGAGTTGCCTGGTAAAGAGAGTGACGTTCCTTAGAATCCCATTAGGAAAGAGATTCCAGGGTGGTCTAGTTCCCTTAGGAATTCTAAGATATTTTAAGGAACATCACTGTTTCTGTCCTGGCAGCCTTGAAAACAATATTTGAGGCCAGGCACAGTGACTCACGCCTGCAATCCCAGGACTTTGGGAGACTGAGGTGGGCAGATCACCATCCTGACCAACATGGCGAAACCCCATCTCTACTAAAAATACAAAAATTAGCTGGGTGTGGGGGCACTTGCCTGTAATCCCAGCTACTTGGGAGGCTGAGGCAGGAGAATCACTGGAATTGGGAAGCAGAGGTTGCAGTGAGCCAAGGTCATGCCACTGCACATCAGCCTGGGCAGCAAAGCAAAAGTCAATCAATCAATCAGTCAATCACTCAATCCGGTCTTGCTAAAGGTGATAAAGCAAATTGGATGTGGAATCAGGGAAGAAGTACCATTTTCTCTCTGTTTGCCTCTTGCACCTGTACTTCTCAAAGTATGACCTTTGACACTCCTGTCCCAGCATCACCTGATGTGAGAGTTCAGCCAGGGTGCTGGGAAACATTTTAGAGGAAAAATTATAAAGACAGTTACAAGATGTAGTCACAAACCTTCTTGGAAGGTGGGTGTTGGGGGGGTTGCATAGCTTCAGTAAAAGGATGGGCTGAAGGCAACTGAATTCTCTTAAAAGATTAGGGTGTAGATACATAGGAATGTAGAGGAGTTTATCTCAATAGCTTGTTTACTCATGTGATCTTAGGTCCAACCTTTGATTAGATGTGGCTGCTGACTCTTTACTGACTCTTCTCAGTGTTGGTGAGTGGCTCAGACCCTTAGCTGGACTGACAGGCAAAATATCTGTGTCAGTGTATGGTATTCATCCATTGTGCAAGCCAGGGTCTGTGGATTGGACCCTGGCAACCTGGGGAGGGGATGAGTAGAAATACACATCACAGACACAGTACATCAGAATCTTTGGTCTCAGAGCCCAGGAATCTGCATGGTGACAAGTCTTCCAGGTGATTTTCTACTAAGCTAAACTCTAGAAACCACTGGACTGGGCCATGCATCTCTGTAGCTATGTTGTGTAGGCAGAGCTGAGGTTGCTGCTCCTTCCAAAAACTCCAGTGATTTTGGAAAAATGGTTGATGGTGGCTTCTCACCAACCTCTGCCTACCCCAGGACCCCGGAGGAAGTCTGTATCTCAGGAGAATGCTGGAGGCCTTCGTGGGCTTTC